ATATAGTTTATATATAGCTTGCATTTGAGCTTTTTTTATTCCTAAACTTGCGATAGATAATATTTATTCTAAAACTAAAAATTAACAAACGATGTTCTCATCTAACCTGTCTATGGCTTTTGTCTAACCCGGTAATTCTTTCTTAAATCAAAAAAACTCCACTTACTTTAAGGAACCGCTTTCTCTTCTGTCCATGTGGCCAAAAGCTACTGAAAGCAAAAAACGAAAAGCTTTCTCTGCTGTTAAACAACGACGTCCTCCGCATGCATACTTCCTCTGAAAGCCCTGAAAGCCGAGTGAAAGTATTGCATTTTATAGCGGGAAACCTTGATTAATATTGCATTACAAGCTTATAAAAATTCAGAGTAATTCCTAGGCCCAAATACAGGCGAAGAAGAAGGGGGGAAACATGCAAGTTTAAAACCACAGGGTTGAGGGAGGGGAGGGATGCCATTGTGATGATTTAAAATACCAATACTGGGGTTTTATTCTTTTGTGTTGCTTTTCTCGTTTCTTTCTTTTTTTTTCTCCTCTATTTGAATGTCTGCTTTAATATCAACTAAGAATATTACTTATTTTCTATAACTCCTCTATGGATCTTGAGTTTGTCATTAAGACCTGGCCTCGAAATTTATCTAATTGTTTTTTATTATCTTGAAAGCTCGAGAAATGGAAACTGTGTTTTAAAGCAAAGGTAAAAACATTATTTTCAAAATAATATAAAAACGAAAATATAAAGAAAAATAATAATTTTTTTAATATAGTTTATAGTAAAACAAACTTAATAGTAATAATGGCATAGTCAGATTTATTCTGTTTAAGCAAACATCTGCTATGTATTTTAATAAATGTATTATTATCAATAATATATTAATAATAATATCATTTCTTTTAGTGCAATTAACTTGATATTTGTGCATTTAAGCGCGTTATATATTAATCTACTAGAGGTGAAAAAATATGTGAAACGTGGGGGGGGGGCTGTTTAAATATATTCTTCAAACCAAAAAAGAAAGGAAAACAAATAAATAATTTATACCATTCTAAAACGTTTCACCTAAAACAGAGCTTTTGCTACAATATACAACAACTCTGTTGTAAATAAAAGTGTTATACATGTAATAGCAAACAACCCCTTGAGTTGGATGTCCAATTACAACCAGAGGAGGCAAGCTTTTTTTTTTTCTTTTTCTTTGATTTATTGGAAGATTGTTGGAACACACTCCCTGTTGGATTTTGGCTTACAGGATGGAGAGTACCAATGAAAGTAGGAGGACAACAGAGGAGAGTGGGGAAGTTATGAGTGAGGGAAGGAGACATTTTCCATGATGCACATGTCACTGCAGTTTTGTAAACATACCTGTGCACAAAGTAAATAGTACTTACACAACGTTTCCGTTACAGTTAACACGACAAACAACGAGGTGATCTTAATGTGAAAACAAGCATTAAACAGTGACTTACAACCACCCACAAAAAATAAAATCTATCAGTAGATAGTACTACTGTAAGCAGTGGTTTATTTTTTTTCTTAGATGCATAGAGGGTTTGCACTGCAAACTGAAACATAAAAGAAAAAAAACATGTCCTTTTTTTCTTTTTACTGTGATCACTCCTTGTTGAAGCTCACAAGCTTATCGTGCTCTGATCTGTGATTCCAATAGTGTCGCACCACCCTTAGAAATTAGTTTCAAAACACAGGAGCTCGTCTCTTGTAAGTGATAAAGTGTAGTCTGTATATACAAACCATTTCGACCTAAACCTAAAGGGTCTTTTGTGCAAATTTCAAATAAATATATCTGTAGATATGAAAGCCTGTAGAGGCTCATTTGCTTCCAGTGAATTAGGATTTCATGCAGGCCCAATCTATTTCACTTTTTAAATTTTCCTTAGACATTAAAAATTTGCAACAAAAATTGAATTTATAGCAGCTTCTAAAATTCAAATAAACGAACACATGAATAATTAACTGATTCATGAATTACTCTCGAGTCTACCAACAGTGACAAGAATCAAACCAAGACACAATTCAACAATAAATGAGGTAATTGGTAAAAATGGCTATATTTCAAATCATAGAAAATAACTCGCTATATTGTATCAAGCAAATTATGTCTTTCCACGCATTTTAAAAGGCATTGACGTCGCTAAACTTTTCCCTCGCAACAACTGAGCGAAATTTGTGTAGTCTGGTATTTGCATACTTCACATTCACCAATAACGTGAAAATAAACAAGATATATGAAGCCTCATAAAATGGATGTCTATAGCCCCTTGTGCACCAACGTGTAAAGTCGCTGGAGACAAAAGACTGAAAATGGTGTCTTATTAATGTCACTTGGTCCCCAAATTCAGTCAGCCCACTCTTGTTTTTTTATCTTTTATTTTTTCTTTGCCCATCAGTGAGCAGCTGAAAATTTCAACCTCTTCTGCTTCTGTCTTTGGTTACAAAACCACACTCGCACCACGTTTTTTTTCAAGTCCAACTTTTCAGCTATAGCCGCTATTTTCTCGGAGGACGGCCGAGGCTGTACTGCGAAGTAAGCCTCCAAAGACCTCTTTTCTGGCGCTGCTATTGAGGTCCTCTTGCGTTTCTTTTCCCCACCGTTGAAAATGTCAGGTTTGCTCATTTTCTCCCTCTGGGCCCCCTCGGCCTCCTCCAGCCAGGCCTGGAGGATGGGTTTGAGCGCAATCATGTTGTTGTGGGACAGAGTTAAGGACTCAAATCGACAAATTGTACTTTGGCTCAGAGAACCCACGCCGGGGATTTTGAGATTAGCCAGAGCGCTGCCTACGTCCGCCTGGGTCACCCCCAGTTTGATCCTCCTCTGCTTGAAGCGCTCCGCGAAAGCCTCCAGCTCCCTTGGGTCTGTGTCCGAGTCATTGATGGAGGGAAGTCCGGGGTTTGTGAGCCCTGGGCCGGCTTGACTTCCACCGTGATGGCCCGGCAAGAGCCCGTGGTGGGTGAGCGACGAGTTCATGCTCATTGCCTGGTGAGATAGATGACCCAAGCCGTGCATGTGGGAATGCGGGTGACCAGAGGAGGTGGAGATGAGCCCTCCGCCGCCTCCTCCACCTCCCCCGCCACCTCCTCCGCCTGTCCCGTCGTGCGCGCTGGACATCAGGGTGAGGGACGGCGAGCCAATGTGGTCCATGATGTCCGGAGGCTCCAGGTTCTGGTGGTGGTGATGATGGTGGTGATGGTGGTGGTGGGCCAAGGGAACGGTGGACGTCGACGAGCATGGCACAGTGCTCATCGTGTGGTAGGTGGCGTCCGGCTTGAACGGGTGCGTCTTGCCCTGGGACACGGCGATGTCCACGGCGGCCAGAGCCTCTGCGCGGGCCAGCAAGGTCTCATCCAGACTCGCGAAGATGTTGCTCTGTAGCTGAGAGGGTAAAGATGAAAGGGGAGAGGAGATGAGGGTGAGTGGGTGCGAAATGGGAAAAGGCACAGAGAAGGAAAAGAGGGAAAAGAAAGGTGCATAAATGCATCTGTCAGTCGGTACTTTCGGCGAAACATGACACAGCTGAGTATTCCTTCAGAGGCGGGAAGTCATAAAAATTAATACAAAGAAGGAAAAAAAGGCAAACGCCGGGGTTTTGCATGAGCATGCTTTCAAAAAGATCACAGGCTCTCCGAGTGATTGCTGTGGAATACATGAAAAAAACATTAAGAGCGCGTCTTGGCGGAAGGTGCCTTGGAGCGCTTCGTTATTACGCACAGAAAGCGCTCGTCGCTTGCGCGCAGCTGAAGCGGAGAAAGTGACAAAGGTAAAGTTTTTCTGGGATCGTTTACCTGTGGAGTTTGTAGGCAGGCTCTCCGTATAGCTTCCGAGCTGGAATGAAGAGTGGTGTACTTGTGTTCGGGTAAAGAGGGATGCATGGCGAAGTGCGGCTGTTTGCTGTTCATGGACATCATCTTGGCGAACGTCTTGAATTAAAGTGCACAGGATGGGGGGAAATTAAAAATAAAAAATAAAAAGAGGGGGGAAAGCGGCTATAAGAGCTGGAAAAAAGACATGGATCCTTTGCCTTTCGGGTAATGATGCAGTGCGGTGTCGCTCTGTAGTGCGCTGAGTGCGGATGCCTTGTGCCGGGAGATCACAGAGATGCCTGCAGTCTCTCAGACGCACGTATCTGTCTACTGTTTCCCCCCACTGCTGGGGATGAGAGAGGCTCTTACACCTGAGCGCCTCAGATCTCGTCAAGCCCATGCTCTGCTGCTCTCGCGAGACATAGCTGCCAGAACAGTAAACTGGCTGACAGATAAAAACTGCTCACAGGGCAGGCAAACCACATCTGGAGAGTAGCTGCTGATGTTTTAAGGCTTTTTCTCCATCCAAATAAAGGAGTGCATCGGTGGCAGCAGTGCTCAGGCCTCAATCACTAATTCACTAATGACTTAATGCAGCTAATTTTGGTGTGACCTATAACTGAAAAGAAAAGTCACTTATTTTACCCTCCAAAAAATTCAAGTCTTTATTTCTTTAATTTGAATCAAAAGAAAAAAATATCACAATTTTAGGTTTATTTTAAAACATTAAGTATAAAGATATTTATCATTTCGCATCCAGTATATTACTTCTTCACCCCTGATTAAGAGGAAATAGGGGGGAGGTGGTGGGGCACCACCTGATCATTAAGGCTCATCATTGCCAGATGAGTGCAAAACAAATTGATTTAATACATCACCAAACCTTGCACAGTCTTTATCTAAATTAATTAATCCCAATGAATTAACACTTCATTAATTCAAACCAAAATGGTTATCCAATTAAATTTTCATGCAGTGATTAAAGGTATGTGAAATATACACGGCAGTTAAATTTGCATAATAAATAAGGCGCTCTCTGCTACTGTGTGTGAAGTCTCTAATGTGTGTCCTACAAGGTTTTGTTGACATGAACAGGCTGCGCACTTCCCATTTTTTAATAGCTGCCTATTAATAATTGTGACGGCTTAACGTATTGCATATCATGTGCGGTAAAAATAGATAATGTGGGAAAGACATTGCAAAACATGGGGCCTCCACTGAAGCTCTAAATATTAATGAAAAGGAGACACTATGTGTTATAGGCAGCAGAAACATGAAAGAATACAAGAGCTTTTTTTTTTGCTTTGCACTTCTTTATTTCCTAACAATCATAGTTATTTAGCATTTCATTGTTTCAAGACAATCTTTTGCAAGTTATTAAACAATGGTCTAAATTGCAGACTGCTACTAATAGGTAAACGGAAAATTGAACAAAAAATAAATAAGCATTTCTATTC